TATTTGAGCTTTCAAACTTGAACTAATTCTATTTTCGGGTTAATCAATAATCCATATAAAAAATATTTTTCCACTAAAACATATGTAAACAACAGTTTATTTGCGATATTATTTTCGGTTGCCTGGATACAATTAACTTCTAAGCATATGCACCAAGACATTTTTAAGTAAAAAAAAAGAGTTACAAAATACATTATATAACTCAAAATCACGTATTACAACATGTTGGCATTCTGAACAATAATAAAAATGGAATAAGTTATCTGAAAATAATCACATTACATATAGACATATTACTAACGCAAAATTATTTGAGTAGTAGTTCAAAAACAAACAAGCCAGATAGAACTATAAATAGAATACATATATGCGATAAATCAACTGATAATTTGATGCATCAAAGTATAAAAATGTAATCACATTGGTAGATACTTAATAATTTATGGAAATAAGTAGAAGGGTTCTTTAATTTCACTTTTAAGTTGAATTACAACAATGAATCTGGCAATGGATTTAAAAAAGAATTCGGTCAAATAAAATTTCGTAGCATTACAATGAATTATGTCCTACAAATGGTTAGATGAAAAGGAAATATTAGTAATATTAATCAAGTTAATTAACGAAATAGAATTAAAACAATACACTATATTCAGGGTGAATGAATTTCATTTGAATATCCTATTCCCTAAATATAAGGCGCGGATCGGCAAAGCAAAAGCAGCGTATTTACATTTGAAGAACATCTGGAACTCAAAACAACTATCAACCAACACCAGAGTCAGAATTTTCAATAATAACGTCAAGACAGTTCTACTGCATGGGGTGGAAACTTGGAGAACTACGAAAGCCATCATCCAGAAGATACAGGTGTTTATTAACAGTTGTTTACGCAAAATACTTCAGATCCATTGGCCGGACACTATTAGCAACAACGTACTGTGGGAGAGAACAAACCAGATCCCAGTGGAGGAAGAAATCAGGAAGAAGCGCTGGAAGTGGATAGGACACACATTGAGGAAAGCACCCAACTGCGTCACAAGACAAGCCCTCACATGGAATCCTCAAGGCCAAAGGAGAAGAGGAAGACCAAAGAACACATTACGCCGAGAATTGGAGATAGACATGAGAAAAATGAACAAGAATTGGATGGAACGAGAAAAGAAGGCCCATGACAGAGTGGGTTGGAGAATGCTGGTCTGCGGCCTATGCTCCATTAGGAGTAACAGGCGTAAGTAAGTAAGTAAATATAAGTTTTAAATACTTGGTAAATATTAAAACTTGATGTATATTAAACAAGGCTAGCTATGTAATAGTGCATACTATTTTATGTGGAACCGATTTTTAATGAATATAGTTTAGAAATTAGTCAGTTAAGTAGATCACAATAATTTTCCAATATTTATTAGATTTGAAGAATTATATTTTGTTACGTAGGTCACATGTCGAACTGTTCAACATAAGCATGTAGTAGATAAAAGAGATAAAAGCAATTAGAAAATTAGAGATGAATTTAACAAATTAAAAGAGAAGAATTCGACCTTATGGTAAAGTGAAATTCCTTGTGAATGCATTTATTGAATTACATAGATGAATATTAGGATTTATTCAATAGCGTCTTAAACATAATTTACTGTTAATAGTCGTATCATAATAACCGCTCAAAAGATCAAAATTAAGCATTAAGGCTTTAATTTGTTATGATTATGAATTATACGTTGTATCCGAATCATAACTGAAAGTTCTAATAAACAAAAATTTCAAATAAGAGCTTAGATGAGATATTTGTTTACGCAATCTAGTATAAACAATCTAATACATAACACGATATGTAATAACCTAGATATTTTTATGTTTATGACGATTTGGCTATATTAAACATATGAGATATACATATTTTTTAGCCAGACAATATAAAACCATATGATTAGTTTATTCGTTTAAACCTAGTGGGCTAGAACTTCGCATAGATCCCAGCTGAGGCTACTGCCAGTCTTAAGCCCGGATAAAAGGCTAACCAGAAAAATAACTCAAACCATTTGAACTCTGCCCTGGGAGTTAGAAATTCCTCATTCAGAAGAGTTATGAGGCCTCATGATGAAAGCCGAGTGCCTTCGGAAGTTACGAGGCCGACGCCCCTTCTGACAATCAGAACAACCATTTATTTAGGTACATGGAATGTTCGTACAATGTGGGAGGCTGGGAGAGTCTTCCAACATGCTGCAGGAATAAAGAGATACAACCTGGAGGTGCTTGGAATCATTGAAACACATTGGACGAAAGTTGGACAACAGCGAATAGCTTCAGGGAAATTTCTGTTATACTCCGGTCATGAAGAAGAAATGCTTCACATACACGAGGAGTTGCATTGATGCTATCAAAACAAGCACAAAATGAACTTATAGGATGGGAATCTCATGAACCAAGGATCATCAAAGCCTCGTTCAAAACAAAGAATGAGGGCGTTTCAATCAACGTCATCCAACGCTGTGCGCCTACAAACGACTCTAATGAGGACGCTAAAGATAAATTCTACGATAGGCTGCAGTCAATCATCGAGAAGTGCCCAACAAAGGACCTGACCATTCTGATGGGAGATTTCAACGCCAAGGTTGGAACAGACAACACTGGATATGAAGACATCATGGGACGACACGGACTAGGAGAAAAGAACGAAAATGGTGAGAGATTTGCAAACCTATGTGCCTTCAATAAACTGGTCGTAGGCGGCACCATATTCCCACATAAACGCATTCACAAAGCCACATGGACTTCACCGGATCACGATAAACAAAACCAAATCGACCATATTTGCATCAACAAAAAGTTCAGGAGGACGATGGAAGACGTGCGAACCAAGAGAGGAGCTGATATAGCATCAGATCATCACTTGCTGGTCGCCAAGATGAAATTGAAACTTAAGGAACACTGGACAACGGGGCAGACAATATCACAAAAGTTCAATACGGCCTTTCTTCAGGATACTGACAAACTCAACAAATTCAAGATAGTCCTCAGCAATGGGTTCCAGGCCTTTCATGATCTACTCAATGGAGAAGGAACTACTGTAGAGAGCAACTGGAAGGGGATCAAAGAGGCAATCACTTCAACATGTCATGAGGTTCTGGGCCACAAGAAGCACCATCATAAGGAATGGATCACTGTTGATACACTGGATATGATTCAAGAAAGGAGGAACAAGAAGACAGCAATGAATATCAGCCAAACAAGAGCAGAGAAAGCCAAAGCACAAACTGAATACACAGAAGTAAACGAGCAAGGGAAGAGGAGCATCAGAACCGATAAACGTAAATATGTGGAAGATTTAGCAACGACGGCGGAAAAGGCTGCAAGAGAAGGAAACATGAGACAAGTGTGTGATAAAACAAAGATACTTGCTGGAAATTATCGTAAACCAGAACGACCAGTGAAAAGCAAGGAAGACAAAGTAATCACCAACATTGAAGAACAGCAAAACAGGTAAGTAGAACCCCAGCCCCACTGAACCCACCCAACATCGAAGCAGCACCCACGGACTTCTCAGTCGATGTTGGTCCTTCAACAATTGAAGAGATGAGCATGGCCATCAGACAAATCAAGAGCGGCAAAGCATCGGGACCAGACATTACAGCAGAGGCACTAAAAACAGACGTAGCGGCAACTGCAAGGATACTCTACATTCTCTTCGGCAAGATTTGGGATGAAGAACAAGTACCAAAAGACTGGAAAGAAGGACGTCTGGTCAAAATACAAAGAAAGGCGATCTCAGCAACTGTGATAACTACAAGAGCATCACTCTTCTCTCAATACCGAGAAAAGTCTTCAACAGGGTATTGTTAAACAGGATGAAGGACTCCGTAGACGCCCAACTTCGTGACCAACAGACAGGATTCCGTAAGGATAGATCGTGTACAGACCAAATCACAACTCTACGGATCATTGTGGAACAATCATTTGAATGGAACTCATCACTCTACATCAACTTCATTGACTACGAAAAGGCATTTGATAGCGTGGACAGGACAATACTATGGAGGTATCTTCGACACTACGGAGTACCTGAGGAGATAGTCAGTATCATACGAAATTTCTATGGTGGATTAAACTGCGAAATCGTGCATGGAGGACAATTGACAGACTCGTTCAAAGTAAAGGCCGGTGTCAGACAAGTTTGCTTACTCTCACCCTTTCTCCTGTTGATCGACTGGGTCATGAAGACGTCAACATCTGAGGGGAAGGATGGAATACAATGGACAGCTGGAATGCAATTGGACCATAGAGACTTCGCAGACGATATGGCCCTTCTATTGCACACGCAACAACAAATGCAGAAGGCGAACAGTGTAGCACCAGCGTCAGCAGCAGTAGGTCTCAACATACACAAGGGAAAAGCAAGATTCTCCGATACAACACAGCATACGCCAATCGATTCACACTTGAAGGAGAAGCTTTTGAAGATGTAAAAACCTTTACATATCTTTGGCAGCATCATTGATGAACAGAGTGAAACTAATGCAGATGTAAAGGCGCGGATCGGCAAAGCAAAAGCAGCGTATTTACATTTGAAGAACATCTGGAACTCAAAACAACTATCAACCAACACCAGAGTCAGAATTTTCAATAATAACGTCAAGACAGTTCTACTGCATGGGGTGGAAACTTGGAGAACTACGAAAGGCATCATCTAGAAGATACAAGTGTTTATTGACAGTTGTCTATGCAAAATACTTCGGATCCGTTGGCCAGACACTATCAGTAACAACCTGCCATGGGAGAAAACAAACCAGATTCCAGGAGAGGAAGAAATCAAGAAGAAGCGCTGGAAGTGGATAGAACACACATTGAGGAAAGCACCCAACTGCATCACAAGACAAGCCCTCACTTGGAATCCTCAAGGCCAAAGGAAAAGAGGAAGACCAAAGAACACATTACGCCGGGAAATGGAGATAGACATGAGAAAAATGAACAAGAATCGGATGGAACTAGAAAAGAAGGCCCATGACAGAGTGGGTTGGAGAATGCTGGTCTGCGGCCTATGCTCCATTGGGAGTAACTGGTGTAAGTAAGTGAGTAGTGGGCTCGGCAAGAAATATGTATTGTATGATCATTCAGTGTTTTTATTCCTCAAAGCCATATACAATAATGTTTAAATATCTAACTGTTCATCGAACGGAGAAATGTAAATCAAAAGTTCGCTTTTTTTGTACTTTATAGTTTTTAGACATGATCATTAGATATGAAAACCACAAGAACGATGTAGATATTTTAAAATAAAGTCTTTTTCAATCCCTATTCATATGATCCCAAACTAATGAATGAGTAATTCTTGATGTAAAATGTAGAGTTTTAATCTAGGTTGTTAAGAAAGTTAATGGTATTTTGATTTACAACATAGAAAGTATAGTGTTTTGGGTATTTATTTTAGATGCACTAAAATGACGTCTATTACAAAGCACTACAGTTCAATAATTCCAGAGAAAAATTAACAGTGATCAAGCTAATAAATAGCCGTTGACATGAATTGAGTAGCAACGTTTAGGTTACATGGTTCAAATTTTCAGGGTTATGAAAATAGGAATCTGGTATTCTTTAAAACTAGTTATTATGACACACCAAGGTTCCCTCTATGTTTCAAGATCTTATGACTTTTTGTTTAGTTAATTTCTCTCAACTTTTGTGACTTTGTTCATTTTCAATGTCTTTTTATTTTTATGCTCATTTTATTATTATGCCTTTGAGAAATAAGACCATCTCTGTTATACGGATTTGTACTTTTTCGCTGTTGATGTTCACATCTGAAATTAATCAGTCTCTATTAACAATTGTAGGCCTTAACATCAACAACATAAATAATATCAGCCCATAAAAATGAATTTTAGACCTTTTGCACGACTCAAAGACCAACTGAATTTAGTGAGTCAGTGGATAACGCTTTAGCATTTGAGGTGAAAGTTTAGTGTATAATAATTACCAATCATTATAATTTAGTTATACTTAAACGGAATTAAATCAATTGTTTTATACAAATTTTATTTGTAGATTATTCGTTTTGTTACTGGGTAAATACATGATATCATTTAGTATGTGATATAAGTGATTTTATGAAGATATCGAGAATGATTTTAATGAGAAATAACATCAGTCGTTAGGTCACTAAAAACGGTACAACTACGGATTACTGGTTGATAATATTTTCCACCTTCTCATTGGTTTACATTCATGATCCAATAAACAGTTGACCCAAAACCATCCCACTTTGTAGAGAGCACGTATCAATCAAATAATGAGTTGGATTTCATTGGTTACCAACTTCTACTTTATTAATTTTACAACATAGGACAATCATCAATAAATGCCAATAATGAGTTTCTATTATTGTCTAGAAGCAGGTGACTTATTAGGTCACAGTTTTTCACTGAAACTTTTGGGGATTCTTTTAAAAGCGTTTAGTATTATTTAAGTTCTTCAGTTATAATTTCTTGTTGCTCAGAAGAACAATCCCATGTTTAAACTCTACGATTAGCTTTAATATACGTATCCTCAAGGTAATTTAAAAAGAACTTATGAACATTACGTTCAGCTGTTTCCAATTCTTTAAATTTTAAATATTTGAACGGTGTAGCTGACTAAATTAATGTCTAAAATAATGATGAACAGTTTGAACTAAAAAAATTATCTATAATGTTCATGCTACTTTTATTTGGATTAACTAAGGTTTTAGGTCAATCGAAATGATTTCCGGTCTATCACACTTGCTGGTAATATGTTATATAAGTCTAACTTATCTGTTCCGACGATCGATGTTATCTGGTGTAAGAATATATTGTAAGAAAGGTAGGGATGGCCAAATCAAAAAGTAAAATTAGTTCATAAGATCACTTATTGTTGGTCTGGGGCATGCTGGTGGGGGCAAACTACTGGGTTGAGATTCATACAGTAACCTCAAACAGTGCACGAAGATGTCGGATGATAGGGATCGAAACAAGTCACAGTGGCATAAATTAATTCACTCTTTATCAGTCTTTGGGTCTCTTGTTACAATAATCCTTCATAAATATCTTTTCCTCCTGTCTTTCTGAACCATACTCTCAATAACTAACCTTTTTCATCATAACTGTTACTACATTATTTCGGCTTCTTCATTAGTCGTCTTTTTAATTTTATCACGTTGTGCGTATGTGATAAATAACAACTAGGGCTGACATACTTTTCCGTTATTTTCTAAATTGAATCCAGCTGACTGAATAACATCGATAGCAGTGATAAGACAACCAAAAATAGTAATAAATTCAAAAGAACTTACCGAAATAGCATAGCTGTTTGTTTTTCCTGTGTTTCTTCACGATCTGCTCAATGAACCAATCACTTTGTGTATAATTTCTGTCGCTTTGTGCAGTTCATCTTCTTTAATAACTAAAGGCGGTGCTAATCGAATGATTGTGTCATGTGTTGGCTTAGCCAATAAACCATGATCGCGTAATTTTAAACAAACATCCCACGCATTAAATCCTGGACACAAAAGAAAAGTACAATGTAGAATTAAATATGAAATAAATTATTGGATTATTCGGCTTAAAAAATACTGTAATGTGTTAATATAGACACTTCTGCTGATTCCGGAAAGTATATCCTGAGTAAAGAGTATTGCTCTGATAACCAGTATCAAGGATTCATCTATAAACCCATCAGGGATTGCTATGGTACTAATATCCTGCTTAAACAGTTACGAAGAACATAGCAGTTTCAATGTCTCATAAAGATACTGTGGAAATAATCTCTGACTGAAGGCTTCTTCACCCAATATTTAAAGCGACAGAGCGTTATACTTTGTGTGATCATTTACACCTTGGTTCGATTGCTAAAACACTAAACACAGACACTGACATACTTTCAGCTAATCGAAGAGATAAATATTGGTCAAGAGATTTACTGGATAGATTAAGGAAGACTAATTTAATTAAACAGAAACTGAGCAAAAAATATGCTTACAATCCCATTTAAAGTATGATAAACCAGGAGAAAGCATACCCCTAATATATCACTGTTTTCAGAGGTATCATAAAAACGTTTTTTAAAGTGGATACATTTTCACAAATGATCTTCATTATTAATATTTTTGACTTCTCACATGTAAGAAAGAATATCCTAATAATCCGCTTTGTTTAATGTTTCTGCTACTGTGTATATATTGTTCGAAAAAACGTAATCAGGAGAAACGAATTTCGCAAAATTAACATATATATATCACCCTCATGTACAGAGAGAAACCATGCTAGAACATGGAAAAAGAGTATCCGTGTAGAACAAATTCGCTCACTTCAAAACGAAAATTTAACAACATTACATACTAGGGTAGAGATAGAGTGATAATTTTGTTCGCTTCTAGGTTACATTAAACATTAATTCAAAGTTATGAAGCCGAAGGGAGTTTTTTCAGCTTTATTTTATTTACTAGTCCGATGGCGGAGAAATTACTTTTGAATGACACAAGTTTCATTTTTACTATTTATTATGTTCAACCTGTATGAGCGACAGATTCACTTCTGGGTCCAGTTATTTCTGCATATCTATAAATTTAACTTTTCTTTTAGAAACAAATTTATAGGTTGAACGACGCGACATCGCCATCTTCACTTCCTCAAGCAGTGACCAATGTGATTGAATAAAAATGTCAATTAAATCTCACAGAAGTTCAATACTATAGCATTTAGAGAACACAAAGCATAACGTCAACAAAATGTCACCAGTTACAGTTCTATAAAAGAAATCAGTAAAGCTTTCAAGCTACCTACATTAACGTTTACTTAGTATCGCAAAGGTGAATGTTCCATCTAAACTTATACAAGCGAAATGTCTATTCTGCGTTCCTCTTCCCTTGCATGCCCTACGTCCACCACTGGATTACAATATTCACCATTCTGTGTCCCGGTCATTTTTATATACGTGTATTTTTAGCATATGTATTTATTGTTATTGTGATTATTAGTCTTGGTCTAGATTCCAAATGATATTTTTCACATTTATTCGCATTGTTTAATAACGCTTCACTTATTTTTGTTATCAATAACATGTTACTTCCTTCACTTCCATACCTACATACATATAATTATAATTCCTGACAAAATATTATGAATTTATAAACAACAAATAATTTTATTTATCTACACCCCAGTTCTATTAATCTTAACAATTCAAGTGATCTAAACATAAATATTTCTAAGTACTATTTACCTTGACGAATTACAATCGCGTTTAAAAGACCTTTACCACGATATAATTCAACGACAGATTTTGGAAGTTTACTCAGTTCCTGACGAAAGATTTCACCTAATTTCTGTGCATGTTCTGCTAAACCTTCCTCTTCCAATACCTTATTTTCGAAAAAAATAAAATAATACATTACCGAGGAGTAAAAAGTAAATGAAAAGATAACTCTTTATAAAAATTTCTTAGAATAAAACTTTCATTTCGTGATGAATATTTTAATGAAATTTCTCCAAAAAAACCATTTAAATGAATAGTAAATGTGTATTCACTAGTATTTTGCATCTAGATAGATTTAATCAAATTCTAACAGGAGAACACAACCAACCAATCAGGAAGCAACAGAGTAGTAAGACGTTGAAAATGAGTGATTTTTACTTAATAGCCCAAACTGACTATCTCACCGAATAATGCTCAATGGATTCCTAATCAGGGCTCGAGTAATATTGTTTTCTTCATGAAATCTAATGATTTCCTACTCGACTATATGTAGCATCAAGGTTTAAAGTTATCAAGGAGGACTAAATTAAGAAGAAACTTGGTCTATTGATTTTTAATTCTTACTATTTGATGACAGTTTGTAACTAAAGCAATCTTCGAATATTGCAGTTACTAATAGTTTTAAATAAAATGAGTCAATTGACAACATATAACATGTCACCAATTTTATAATGAAACAAACTCATCATTCTAAGAATAACGTAATAATTAAGCTAGAAATTCTCTTGGTCAGTAGGTTAACATAGAAATATTTTTTAAGGAAGGTGATTAATTGAATGAGTTGAAAAAGTTTACATAACATCACAATTTTGCAAAATGAATCAAAATTTATTGCATAAAAACCTTAAACAATGAATGCTAAATGTCAGGCAAACACTCTGTTGAAACCACTGATTTGAAAGATTTTGTTCGGCTGAATTTACTAAACTTTTAAATTGTTTCAGCTATCTTAGGCCGGTGAGCAAAATGTGCAAAATTAGTAGTGACTCGGTAAATACTGAGGCTAGAAGTTTTTAACAATATGCTAATACATTTCTGTGATGAATGGGAGTATAATCTGACAGGTATGTGTGGTTCATTTTGGGGCTCGTCAGTTGAGTATGCCACTATCGACCCGTGACTACAGGCTACACCAAAATATTTTTTCAAAGAGCTCAACATAATGAAGTAGTCTGATCGAATTCATTCCTCATTATTGACAGTTTTAAAATAACAGACCATTACGAACAGTAATGATAGTAGTAAGGAAAGACTTACTCTTAAAGCAGCCATAGCAACTTTACAAGCTAATGGATTACCACCATAAGTTGATCCATGTTCACCAGGTTGAATAGTCAACATAACTGAATCATCAGCTAAAACAGCGGATACCTGAATTAAAATGGATAGGTAGATAGATAAATAAATGAATGGAAATACAAGTGAAACAAACTAGATTCTTAGAACGCATTGTCATAATATGATTGCTAAAATAACTATTGAGGCCAACTTTATCAATGGTGATATATTTTGACACATTATTCAGGCTCTTAATATTACATATGGATGTTTTCATGTTACAATAAAATTCGTGTATTCCAGATATATTTGTATAAGTTAGCGAATATAATCTCGTAATTTGGTTTAAGTGTTCTAGTTACACATTTTCATGCACATCAGTGAAACTAATTTCCGCAATAACTACAATAGAAAAGGAACCAATCCACGAAGTTGCGCCACCATATACCATTGTCTTCAGTGAGCTGATGTCTCACAACAGACCTGGTTGAACTCCACTGGTGACGGCTTCTCACTAAAATTCCATCTGTGAAATTTCTAAAATCTCCACAAACCCTTTCTGATAATAATCATCTGCTCACTAGTGACTGACTTCAAGAGATACTCCTGAAGTTTTAGTGAGAAGCCGTCACCAGTGGAGTTTAACCAGGTCTGTTGTGAGATATCAGCTCACTGAAGACAATGGTATATGGTGGCGCAACTTCGTGGACTGGTTGAAGTTAGACATTTACACCGCTGGATGCCGGCTCAGTGGTCTAGTTGGTTAAGCGCTTGGAATGAGGCTGATAGATCCTGAGTTCGAATCTCGCGGGGTGCGGGATCATGGATGTGCACTGCTGATGAGTCCCATACTATGACGAGACGGCCGTCCAGTGCTTTCAGGTTTTCCATGGTGGTCTAGCTTCAATTGACTCATGATTTCAATCTGTGAAATTTCTAAAATCTCCACAAACCCCTTCTGATAATTAATATGTAAACAAACAGATTAAATATAATAAAAAACTTAAATAGATTTTTTGTTTTGAAGCATGTAAACAAATAAATGAAATGAAAAATATCCGAAAAAATTAATCCATTTTAAATTCATATAATACATCATGGATATTATTCATATATAAATTGATTTAAGTGTACTTTAATAAGTTGTTAAGAGTTTAATGACGAAAAAAGGTCGTTTTCAATATGAAACATATGATTAACTTTAGTTGTTGTAAAGTCAAAATAGTCATTATGGTTAGAAGGATATATTTTCATAGTAAAAGTAAGAATATTGACAAGTCACTCGTTGATAGACTTAGATACTATGAAACTTTTAAACAGTTTTCTGACATATTTGTGATCATATAAGCACACTGATTTGGTGGTCTATAGGGTTAGATAGTAGGCTTTGAGCTAACCCTTTGTGGAGTTATAGATGTGCAATACCGAGAAGACTCATGTTTGGGCAAAACAGTTATCTAGTACTTCCTGATTTTCAATGGATACTTAACTAAAGTTGGTTCATAATATCAATAACATTCAATAATCTCTACAAATCTCTACTCACTTGTTTGAATTTATTAGGTTAACTGAAATAATAGTGTAACGTGTGTCCCCGATAGTTAAAATGTTAAAAATACATGCATTTCTTTTTCTGTATGCTATTAAGAAGCAAAATCCATATTATAATTTGTATGAGCCTGTTAATACTTAGAACTAGGTTCATTAGTGTTTGTCAGTAAAATCAAATAACGAGTTGCACAGAAGATGAAAAGTGATTTTTAGGTTTAACTGCCAACCAATGTCTAAGATAAAACAATTAACTTTAATGTCAACAGATTTATTTTTAGTTCAAGTTTTATATAAAACAAGAAAGGATATTAGAACACTCAGTGGTTCAGAACACAAGTTAGAATTGTACAAAACAAACACTTTATATTCTACCAGTTTACTATCAATGAACAGAAATCATTTAAATTTTTTTGTTTACTCCCGACCGTTACATTTAATTTTCTGCCTAAGAAAAATCCTAGAAACTAATTAGTATTTTGACAGGGTGTGTGTTTTGTACTAAAATGATTTAATTTTGTGATTAAATCACTCTAAATACAAAATGGAAATTGTTTTAATATAAACTCATTGTTTGGGTAATCCTAAAAGAAACTAAAGATTTTAGCCTGTTTACGTCCATAAAAAAATGAGTGAACAAGCTGCCTGTTCTAAAGCCATCCCAACATAATTAAAAAACATAATAAACATTTTCGAACTCCACGGACTTGATCTTTAACTGAAAACTCATTAATTTACGCGAAATAGCATCCGAAAAGTTCTGGGTTTGATTTTCGCAACAAACTAGGATTCTATAAAAGTATTATGCACATATTGGTCGAAGCAAAACTATCCACTCATTCATAACAATTTTAATAATTTAGTCTCCTCTCTAAATATTTATATACTTATATAATAACTGTTGTTTAATCGTAAGGAATTATCATCTAGTTAAGATCTAACTCTTTTGTATACAGTTTTAAACAAACTAAAATCGTGGTTAGGAAATGGATAAATGATTTACACTGATTGAATCATCAATGAGGATAAGCTATACGATACAACTACCGAAGCCGTCTAGTAGTATGGAATAAAATCGGAAGCAGAGAAACATTTATCATACCGGTCAACAGCTTATTATGTTAACATTTTATGAAGTCGCCCCGATTTATCTTTTATCACAGTCTCTTCAATCTTTATTAAGCATGGTCATTTAGTCAAACATAAAGTAATACTTAGAACATATCTATATCGGTTTAAATAGCTACACCGTGTCAACACAGCGAGATAAATTTATCAAGGCAAATATCGTAGTAGTAGGAGTATCAACAGTAGCAGTAGAGCAGAAAAGATTTGACAATATACAATATGATTCGAGAATCAAAACTGAATTTATATAATTCAAATGAAGCACAAATTTGAGACTCAGGAGAAAAGGGAAAACAAGGAATAAATGCATGTCATGTCATTGAACATTTCCAATCAGTGATTACAATAATCACACAAACCCTAACCCGGTAGTCTGAACCTATCTACATAGCTAAGATCAACTCCCATTGAATTCATGAACTGATGTTACGTTTTAGTTCGTCCATCCCTAGATATTCAAATAAGTACTAATTGACGATAGTTTAAATATCTAAAACTCAACAGACAGTGTAAACATATGATGACGTTAACTTTAATAACTTACTGGAAGTACTCCTCCTGATAAAGCTTTCCCAAGTAGAACGATATCTGGTCGAACATCTTCATGATTTACACATAAGCGTCTGAATAATAACAAAAGAGTAAGTTTAAAAAATAAAGATAAGTTATCTGCATAAATTGTTATGTATAAATTTCTGCCATTGGCGTTTGGTATATATTACTTGGGATTATACTAAATGTAACTGAGATTTATTTGGCTATACAAGTCATGACTTTTCCTCTATCGACAAATTTAATAATCTTCAAGTTTTTACGTCTGAAATTTAACTCAAATTCATTGAATTCGATTTTGATAATCAAGTGATAAAAGTATTGTTAATTATTTTATTTTAGCTAATAAATTAAAAAATGAGTATAGCAATTATACTTTTTTCAAAGGAACCTTGAAGTTTTTCATAGATGATTTTTAAGTCGATTATACACCCAAAAATACTTTTATCCAGAGTCATTTATCTGTAGTAAGATGTCGAATAGGTTTATCGATTCGATTCGTATAGACAACAAAATTTAATATATTCTTGTGAACCCAGGTGCTTTCTTGTGAAATGAATCTGGGTAAAAGATGATGTGTTTTAAATATCTGATAAAAACATCAAATCCCTGATACTATAATATAGCTTATATGAGATACAGTAATCAATAGATTCTACCGAATTCTGTACTGCCATAAATACATATTTTTATAATCAAAGATTTCATTATTGTATCGTTTTTTTATTAGGCTCGCTTTGTTAGTCATAAAAACAACTATGGTTACTCTAATATAGTTAAAAATAGTTTCGAAACATTTTTCCCAATGTACAATTATTCATTCTGAAGAAATGGTTCTGTTTTGATAGGTTTAGTTTATCAATATTCAATTATTTTGTCATCCTTTTTTCCTCAGTGTTCAATTTATTACATTATTTTTTCGCTCATTGTTTATTGATTTTTTCCACATGGTAACAAAAAGAGACCATTTTGAGTAAATGTTATAATGCACCAGATTTTTAATTCCTTAGTTCATCTATAAGTAATTGAAATAATTCTACTCATTCATTGATCAGAGATCAGTGTACTGAAATTTTATCCACAGTGTTAATATGAAGACTATGTATACTAACCAGTTGTCTGAAGCGAAGTAAATGGAGTCAGGTTCAAACCTTTGATTTATCAATGGATAACGGAATGTGTTCAAGAAGCTAAGCAACTATTTTACTCATATTAGTATTTAAATATCGTTACAGGAAACAGAAAACGTCAGTCTGGATTATAATTTATTTATCTCAAAGGCCATATGTATATCAGAACGTGTATCTTCCTATTACTCGTCTTAATTGGGGTATATTCAGACATTTACATAAAATTTATATGTACAGCTAGATGTTAGCTGATTCAACTCATAAAATTACTTAAACCAAGAGTAAAAATTTATTCTAAGAATAACTGCTTAATATGAGCTACAGAACATTATGACAACATCAGTTTAAACTAGTTAATTAGATGTAAAACAAATCATAGTTACAGCTTACTTTCCTGTTCGACCTAAACCAGTTTGTATTTCATCAGCTATAAACAGCACATTATATTTAGTGCACAATTTTCGTACACCCTTTAGGTAACCATCTGAAGGTGTACGAACACCGGCTTCACCTTGAATCGGTTCCACCATAAATGCACAAGTATTATGATTTTTCAATTCGTTCTAGAAAAACAACGAAAATACAAAATAACAAACCAAATAAACATCTTTGAATGAGATTTATGTTGTTTACATTGATGAAGCTATCAGTCTTAGATATTTGAAGGGAATCGTCAGTCAAATCTATTTTGATGAGAAAATGTTTGTAATATTTAGGTAAACGAGTAATAAAGTGGAAAACCTTCATAACTCATGAAAAATTTACATCCGTTTCACCTAACAGACGACATCACTCAACTATTTAGGATGTGATGGGAATTTTGAAAAATTCGATCATGCTGATAAGTTAGTCTACTGTTCAAGGATTGGAGCTGTATATAGCATAATTTGTAGAAAATAAGAAATGGTACACGGAAAAGTATCGCTTCAATTATCTAAGATTATGCAAAAATCAATTTTGAGGTAATCGGTCACTGATTAGAAAGAGGGACACGAATATATCCTCTAAATACATTTATGGTCTGTTTTTGAAAGGTGTGTAAATGAATCTTATTTAGTAAAGCAAAATCCAGTACACATTGATTCCATAGATAGCTTACTAGATCTGACACAAAAACAGCATTTTAGTGTGGAAATTTTGAGAAACCGATTGTTTATACCGAATCGTATAATCTGCTTGATAAGTTGACAGGGTTATCTGTCTATCGGCAAATCGCCGTTTAATGTTAACACGACTAATATATGTTGAAAAGATACATCTAACTTCCGTAAATCACATTAAAAAGTGGTTCTGATTCAGAAGAAATTACCTTAAATAAAAGATATCAAAACCACTTTCAGTGGATGTTAAATTGTTGGTTTTCGTACTACCCTATTTAAAATAAACACGAAGTTTGATGATTAAGTAGTCACCACAATACTTGATGGCTTGGAGTTTGACACCTGCAAAAGACATGTGTTCACTGGTGAAGAGTTTCATGGTACCACAAAACAATTAACCAGCTCTCCCTAGTTTTAAGTGTTACACTAAGTTCATTCCGTGATAACATCACCTACAAGCAAATGCTTTGTTTTTTCCCCATAAGTTTTGTCTAACGCTAATTATACTTTTACGGAAGTATGAGAGCTTCAAGCTGTGCTGATTTCAATTAGATTGTTACAAAGAATTGTTTCTTGACACAAAAAGTAGAAACAAGTGATTATTAAGTGGCTCAATGTGCCAGTTGTTAAAATTAACTTCATCATCTTATCTTTTCGAACCTCGAGTAAATAACCACTACACCAGACAATCCAGTGACGTCTACTTTGATGATGACTTAAAGTTAACAATTAATAGAGTGAGTTGATGTCAAGCTTGTATGAGTTGATTGTGGAATTATTTAGTTCATTAAAATTTATATGCTTTCCAAGCAAATGACTTTCTGAACTGATCAAATTACGTATAATTTTATATTCGTGATTCGAAAGTGGTTGGATTTAAAATACTTTCAAATTGTATCCGAAAGCAGTTTGAAAGGCTTGAAATCAGGTTTTTTTTATTGATGACACATATTTCATACATAGATGATTTCAAAGAAAACTCACGATTATGACCTTTAAAAGGGTAGTCATAGATCAAGTTACTTCAACGTAACATTTTCCGATTTTGTGTTCTTACAAAACTGACCCCATTCCTTATTTTTATCAATAACTATTTTTGTCTAAACTAAAAAAGCTCTTCGTAAACCATATACACAAATTATTATTTGAGTTCTTTCTAATACATTGGCTTGTATAGCTGAGTTTATTGACTCTTAAATTAACTCACAGTTGAGTTTCAATGAATTTAAAATAACACAATGTCTAGTTTACAAAAGAAACAAAACGCTGACCTAAGGCAGAAACTTTTTAAGTAAACGGTTCAGGAAAGAGCACAAATATTAACCAGTTTAGATCTTAGGAAGTGTAGTAAGTGTAAGTAAGTGTAGTAAGAAAATGAAGCTGATTTTATTGAAATGTTAGAGTTTATACATTAGACAAGTTTTTTAAATATTTCTGATTTAAAATACATTTCCAATGTATTCTAATGACTTTTCAGCCACCCGATGTGATGTCCATCAAACATTGATTTTACGTTTTTTCTACGTACAATCAAGGAGTACATACTTTTATTACTCAGATTTGACTAATTGTTAAACTCTCAAATTTGTACTTATCATCTGAAATACTTTTCACCCTTTTGTCACTTCTCCAGACAACCACACAATGTAAGTGTATTAAAGAAAATATTTATATAGCTGATCTAACACAGTGTCGAACGTCAATTATCTTGGTGTCACCTTTTCCTTTGATTTCTCTTGGTCTTCCCACGTTTCATTGTTATCGAATAAGGTTTTCCGTCTGACTTACTACATAAAGAGATTACACGCTCTTGGGATTACTCGTCATTTACTCTTACAATTTGTCAATTCTTGTATATTACCTATTATTCTTTACTGTTCTCCATTATTCTTTCCCCGGCTTTTGAGAAAAGACTTTGCTGTATTGCGGAGAGTGCTGAAGGCAGTTAGCAAGATGTGTGGTGAATCTTTCGAGGTCATAATTAAAATGGTTGTGGATAGACATCTAAAATCATGCAAACTCCTGGCAGGTGTTATTTTATCAGATACTAACCATCATCTTTACTCTTATCTTTCTCCTTGTATATCTTCTGGTAGAACGAGACGTAATTACATTGAAATCCATGCACGCAAGCAAAAGTATAAAAGTTCTATAATACTTTACCTAGCAAATATACTCTGTGACGAACAGGTTGTTAGAGTTAACCTAGTCAATAACCTGCATTCTTAACATGTCTTTAATTTGAAAAGTTGTACAGTTTTTCGGGTTTTTTTTAACCTTTTTTGTCTTTGTCACTGATTGTTTTGCGTAAGAAACTTGTTGAAATACCCTGTGCTGAGAATTCTATACTGTACCAAAATATAATATTGAATAAAGCCATTAATAATAATAATAATAACATATATAGATCTATTTGGATAGTTTCACATCAGTTACAAATAATCTGAGGCTGATTTTTTCGTGAGCCCAACATGACCAAAACCACAACACAAATTTAAAGGGAACTACATGTTGCCAAATATCATACTATTCTAAAACTTATGTGTCAGAAATCCCAACCCAGAAGGGGACAGATTTGAGGTTAATAAAAAGTTTAATGGAGCAAAAATAGTTTCTTGAAAGATGATACTGACTACATCATAAAAACAAACACCTAAAATCAGTCAACAAATCAATTGAAATATGAGTTATCAACCACCTGGTTACTTACATTAAAATTAAATGCTAGGACCAGCGGGACTTATTAACTACTGAATAGAAATTGAAATATCATTATATCGCCAGATAATATATGTGCATAAATGCAAGGAAAACAGAATCATTCAATATATAAGACTAAAACACAGCCACAAAAACGCTCTTAACGTATCAAGCAATTAAAATCTGGCATACATATTCCAAAATGTTATAAAGTAACGAAGACCTAAAGCTAACAATTTTGACTTGATCTTCAATCTAACTAGAAAACAAACTTACTTCGAGAGCGTTCAAGTCATCATAAGGAACAATGACAAAACCGGGCATGAATGGTCCAAATCCTGAGTAGCAAGTAGGATCAGTAGATGAAGAGCATGCAGCTAAAGTGCGACCCCAAAAGTTTCCTTCAGCAAATATTACTCTGGCTTGTCCATCTGGAATATTCTTTACTTTGTAACCCCATTTTCGTGCAAGTTTTATCGAAGTTTCACCAGCTTCGACTCCTATATATTTATAAAACACTTCATTCTTATAAATACGAAAATTTCACTGTTTAGATAATAAATATCAGTTATGTAAGTTAACTGCTAGTATAAATATGAACAAGTTATCTTCCCATTTTCCTTCAAACATTTTTGTTAAAAATATTTACTTTCCTCTATTAAGAAAGTGGATTGTTTTCAGAAAACAATTATCCTGGTAAAACTTAAAATTAACTACTGGTTGACATCTAAAACAGTTGAAACGTTACTACTACTGTCAGTGAAATAACTCGTATCTACAATTATTGTCTGTGTATTATATTATGTGTATTATATATGACGATTGTAAGGCTTAACGTCACTTCAAAGAAGTTTTAATCACACATTTTGGTTTTTACTTTACATTTTAAACATAATTTACATACTGAAGGTTGTGCTATTATCAGTGACCAGAATAACTGTATAGTAATCTCTTTGAGTGAATTTAATTAGATATTAGTGTCAAAGCAGTAAGGAAATAAAATAAAAAGACTAAAATGATTTGTGTAGGAAACAATAATAAACATGCCATATATTGTTTCAGCATCATTATTTCGTTATATGTATAACAATAGCAATTTTAAAGGTAATACTGTAGATACAGAAAAAACCTGTTTTTACATGTAGCCAAAAACGCTCAAAAAAGGAATGTCCCAATTAGGTGAAATGGTACCCGATTTTACTGTTTTTAAATTAAAAGTTATAACGTTCTCCTATATAATACAATAAAACCAGCTTTGTTGTTTATAATGTTGAAAACGGTTTGACAATGGCGATTATTTGATAGTTATCGTCAATTGCATGTGCAACACATCACTTTTGTCTTTATAACTATTTTTTTACATAATTTGTGCACACCAAAATTAGTCAGTTAGTTATAAGTGACATAGAACCTGAAGGGAATTTTTTCTTTGGCTGAAGTTATTATACAGTGTTAGAATGAAAACATGAGCCTAACAAGATGAATAACAGAAGCGTAGTCGAGCTTTCTCACAGTGTCTTACGGAGGCCGACTTACTTTATGAATGCGTCTTATTTCGCAAAACGTTGAAAAAAGCGAAAAAAAATAAGTAGAAGCGGATGCTCTTTGTTTTCCGGAATTTTTTAGTCAAAACATAATAATATATTTATGTATACATATACATGTATATGTATATATTTAAATAAAGAATAACTTTTATCGTTAATCCCGATGATAGGCTTGAAGTTTGAACGCAACACAAAGTATGTTTTCTCCAAAAGTCTGAGAATTACTAAGCAAGGTTAACAAAGAAAAAGTTGGTAAATCGCATAACCTTTGGTCCTTTAGTATTTTAATTTGCATAATAAATTTTAACTGACACCACAATAAGACAACAAAATCGAAAAAAAGACATGTGGGAAACTGTTGTGACAATAAACGATGGTTCATATGCTGTTTTATAACGATCCAGTGAGAATGAGCCGGTCGTATGATTCAAGCTATGTTCACACTTAAATTCGGCAGAAACAATGTAATGCTTTGAGGGATCGTGTATGCGATGATTAAAGATAGAATTTAATTCGACATTGTAAAAAATATAATGAATGTTGACAGTTTTTAGTGTCTGCATTGATCTCAGCTATATAAAATATAACCTACGATTTTGGTCATGAAGTCGAAGGTAAAGTGATCAAATAAAGTAAATAAGAAAGCAAGTCAACAAAGAACCATTAAAAGCATGGATAATCACTCAGTTTACTTTAAAAAATTGGTTTTTAAATGTAATCAACTCAGAGAGTGCTTGAAAATTTATATACATTTTAAGTGATCTGTGTAAATTAATGTCAAGTAGAATGGATGGAAGCCTCAAAATAACTTGTAAAATGATGTATTTGTGGATCTAAGAATAAATTTCGTGAAACACTGAAAGTTAATGAAGATCAAAACAGAAAGAATCACTTGTAATCTATAAAATTTACCGAAACAATGACCATTAATTATATATTACAAATGAAATTTAAAGCTTCTGTTAGTCCTTGAACATTCGTACGCCTAATAATATTTGGGTCACTGAGTAATGAGCTCGCGAATTTCAAAGCATGCATTCAGAAACACTTGTGATTCTTCATTTGTGAGACGTATTTTAATGATCAAATAGAGACGAAAGTATTTCATCATTAATATTGCTCCGCATAGATGGATACAACTAGTACATACGTCTGCTAATAGGGCTGGTGTTTGCTGTTTGCAAACAAGATCATCATAATGTTCACAGTGTTGACCTTTCTAATATACGGAGTTTGCACAATTTTGCCTTAATTACAGGGGTTTGATTGGGATATATTTGAATCTACAAGAATTGAATGGCCGGAAAAAAACCATAATCTTAGGATTTAGACTAAATATCTTCAGTGAAATGCAGGTGTACATTATGTCCTTCAACTTCACAATTCTTGCAACTTAATGAATCTTAAAACAATATTTTCTCTGAAAACTTAGATACAAACTAAAGAGCCGTTAATCACAAAACAGTCTTATTTAAAATAATAGTCAAAATATCCGTATGACCACGAAATTAGAAAACAAAATATCATGTTATATTGCTGTAAGTTTTATTCTTTTGTAGTGAAATAATGACAGTTTTTAGCTAACGTTCCAAAACCTACTGGTACATATAAATGAATGCTAGTTATTTTCATTAGGTTCATTTCATATTCGTGAGTTTTAGGTTTATTCATTTGGTATAAATAAGTATATGAAGAAACTGATTTGTTTACTTTGAAATCAATTTCAACTTTCAGTCACCACAAGTAATATTGCTGCATGAAACAATCTAAACGATCTACAAAAGTATATGGCTGGTTTTTACACACCGTAAATGTAATTATGATGTCATATTGCTACCACAAAAAGTTATAAAAAACACCATAAGTCCGAATTTTAGTAGATACATCACGTATAAGTATAGTCCAACACTCCAACAAGTATTTTTGAAATATCCGAAACCTTAGTGTGCTTATTAATATCTCCTGTAATAAACTCAATTACTGATCAGAATTTTTATAGCTAATTGATATTTTTGATTCATTACATTGTTGTTAAAATCTATATTACCTGTAAAGAATATATATATCGGTTCCTTATCTTCTAAAACTTCGCGTGACATAAAAAGACCTTGTAAATGTAAGTCATTTAGGTCATGATATAACTCCATGAAGCTATAGATCGGACATGTGACTTGCGTTTAATATATAATTAAACCCAGGACCTACTGGTTTCGCTCCCGAGCACTTAACCACTAGACCACTGAGCCGCCATCCAACGGTGTTAATGTCTAACTTCAACTAATCCACGAAATTGAGTTACTATCTCACTGAAGACAATAGTGAATGTGTCGCTCAATTTCGTGGATTAGTTGAAGTCAGACATTAACACAAGTGGATGCCGGCTCAGTGGTCTAGCGGTTAAGTGCTCGGGCGCGGAACCAGAAGGTCTTGGGTTCGAATCTCACAGGGGGAGACGTCGTGGATGCGCACTGCTGAGGAGTCTCGCGATAGGACGAAACGGCCGTCCAGTGCTTTAAGGTTTTACATGGTGGTCTAGCTTCAACTGACTCATGATCTTAGCAATTGAAATTACTACAATCTCCACAAAAACCCATCTGATATAATTAAACGTTGAATAATACAAAACTCGTACCTGAATTCATAGGTAAAACCCTATCGTACCCAAACATTTTCGCTGCCATCTCCTCGAATTCTCCCAAACAAACGTTATAAAATGCACGTGAGGTAAGAGTAAGTGTTTCTGATTGAGTTTTGAGTGCCTCAATAATACGCGGATGACAGTGTCCTTGGTTTACTGCACTATAAGCACTCAGGAAATCCATATAACAATTTCCCTCAACATCCCAAACATAAATACCTAACTATGAGATAAAAAATTTCAAAATACCTTTGCCTTTGCTTAAAGCTACTGGTAGAGGATGATAATTATGCGCTCCATATTTGTCCTCTCGGGAATATATAGCATCAGATAGCTTAGTCTGTTTACGCAAATTTTCTGACCACCCCGAAATGCTCCTATCAGTTTGTTATACTTTGAACACGATGTTCTAATACATGAATTACCTAGTCAGAGTTTTTTGAGCGTACAAACGTAAAGAGATCATATTGAACAATCTGTGCGGTGATTTTAGTTGTTTGATAAGATAAAACAAACGTTAAAAATTGAAACGAAATGAAGCAAATTAGTGATTTTTCAGTGTCATGATCTGGGTAACAGGAAATAAACTTTGGGAAAGAAGGTTGGTCTTGCATACTGATTGGTATTAAAATTGAAATGCTTATAACGACGTGTTCCTCAGAGTTTCGCTATTAGTAAAATCCTTTGGTCCCCCTTAATGTCATAGAACTTAATGTCAACCTTAATTCAATTGCGGATGCTGACACCACTGTTTTGGGTAGCAGGTTGGTTATTTTATTCGTTCTTTTATTTCCTACTCGCTTGCTATGTTATCTGAGATGTCCTGATAGTGGGCGGGAAAAAGAGGATGTATTAGGCCCAAAATCACTTATTGGTGTTCTATACACCAAATTCTGCTATAGGACCGAGTAAAGAGATTGAGATTTTCAAGTCTCTTTTATGGTAAACCACGGTGTTCCGGATTTGCACGAGTAGCATTCTTCCGACTCACATTTCAAACAGAACCTTGAAGTCTGAACACAGTTTTCGAGCTAAATTCTCACTAAGGTTGTGTATACTGTTATGAATATAGTGGTATCTCACATGATGAATGTTTGTCTTAGAGTCCAGTGGGTTCTAAAGCCCTTAACTGCGACCTCTCGGCAATTGGCGGTTGTCTTAAGATCATGATTCACCGCCACCTCAAGATTCTTGTGAGACCGAACCACGAGTGCAAGCACTTGCACTTTTTTGCATCTATTAACTTTTGTATCCCCAAACTGCATGTAGACACACTTTGCCGCGTTGGTAGTCATCAGTGTTTCAACTACGACAATGGTGAAGCTGATAGACCTATAGTTCGATGAAAGTTGTCTTGGTCCTGTTTTATGCATGGGAGTGACGATTGCGCCCTTCCAGTCCATAGGTAGGTCATTTGACCAGTTAGTGGGGCTGCAATATACTATGCAATTTTTTTCAGGATTTTTGGTGTAATTAATTTGGTCGTGTTGACTTTCCTGTCTAAGGCGCTAAGAGCTTAAAGTATATCATCCTGATCAAAGTTCACGGCAAGCGGACTGTTTGTCGACCTTGTATTTGGGTCTAGTTCTTTGTCTAGAAGAGGTTCCTGAGTGTCAACTGCCATAGCCCCTGCATTTTCCTGATCTTCCTCTTTAATTAGTTTTGAAATCCAGTGATGCATCCATGGTCTGTAATTTGTATACGAGAAAAATCTCTTGGGTTGTTTGATTGCAAATTATGTCAAGTAAAGGAAAGGATGAGAGGCAGAGTAGCCAATATTCATGAAGGAATGTTTAAGGTATGATTACTCAGTCTAATTTTCTTTTATTAAAGTATTTGTTACGTAAGAGCATTTTGATAGGTTAAAGGAAGGTATGAGTAGACATACAACTGACAAGTGGAGGCGATTCGGAAAGGAGCTGAGAGTATGGGATTATGTGTGGTTATAAAACAAAATATGGTGCTAGAAACAGTATTGTGATATACAATTGGCTATCTTTTTTTATCGAAGCAATTGGAGCCCTTTTCATTTTTTTGTATTATTATTTTTTTCCAGGTATCATAGGGTCTTGAGTAGGTTTCTTATGCTAGCGAATTGTCTAGTTTGCTTGTAATAGGATTACTGGTAGGAAGTGAAACCAATTCAACGTTCGTAACACGATTTAATGAGGTTATCGACTAATCAGAATGGGTGTGACGTCGGCAGACATTTTAGACTTTTGTTTTGATAAATTGTCAGGTATACGGTCAGTTTTGAATAATTCAGTGGTCAGGAGACTTAATATTTTGGGGGAAAGCATTAAGTTTGATTGGTACACGTCAATTACATCACGTTAATTAACTCGCGGTGTTCATAGTTAATCCCAACTCGACGCCACGCTACAATTGGTGACCCAAGCTTTGGAACACGCCTCAACTTCTGGTCAAATCTTCCAAAGAAGCCAATTCGGTGAGTCTATGATTTATCTATCCACGTCTGTCGTATATTTTCATATTTTTAATATATAATATACTCGACATGACGGATAACGATAAGAATAGTATTAATATAATAGACTCACACGTATGTGTACCGAATCCTTGTCACTTTTATTCGCGTGATGATGAATTCCACGCTTTATTCGAGAAATGTTACCTATTAACGATTCTCCTCGCTGACCCGGCTGCTTGGTACGGAATGCATACGCATAAGCATTACCGTCTACCACCCAGCATCAAATGGTTAAGTTGAACGGTTTCATTGCCAACTTAAAAGTGCTCTACGAGCACACGAAAACGGCAACTGGCACGAAACCTTACCGCTCGTTCTTTTAGGGATCAGAACGAGCTTAAAGGCAGATATCCAATGTTCCGCCACTGAACTTGTATACGGCACGACATTGCGTCTGCCCGGAGAATTCTTCACACCACGGAGCAGACCTAATTTCGGTAAATCAGACTACGTCCATCGACTGTCTGCATTTATGCGAACGCTGTCTCCGGTGTCAACTCGAATACAACATCGACAGGTCGCTCTCCCTCGAGAGTTATCTATCTGTTCACATGTTTTTGTACGAGTAGATTCGGTACGCAAACCTTGGCAACAACCTTACGAAGGCCCTTTTCACGTGATCGCTCGTCACGAAAAGACCTTCAAGGTTGATCGACACGGCCGCGTCGAGATCGTCAGCATTGATCGTCTCAAACCAGCACACGTCGATGACAGTGCCCTATCTGACAACCTGAGATTCAATGCTAGACCTAGCAAACCTACTAGCGGGATCCTCAAACCATCTTCAGGTCCCACGCTAGATACATCTGAGACCTCATTCTCACGTCCCAGTCAACAGCACGCGTCATCTGCACCGTCTACGGACGAGACGACAGTCTCACGTCCAGATCAGCAGACCACGCCGCCCTTGACTTCGGATGAGATTGCAGGCTCACGCGACGCAAACGAGACTGCCGTCTCACGTTCCGGTCGCCGAGTACGGTTACCCGTACGCTTCCGCGAATAGTCGCACAGTCAACAACCGATACGGTGTAGGATTATTCCTATACTACACGTATGCTACACTCTTCTTTTTTTGATTTTCTTTTTGTTTCCTGAGCCCACGCCTTCGACCATCTCCGTTTGGTTCCGTCGACTTCAGTCAACTTTGGCGAAAGCTGGATTGGCCACCCACGCTCTTGTCAACGTACTCAGTCGATATATTGGTTTCGAATGCTTGGCATACGCTTGGTCTCGAACTTGGTCGTTACGGTCGCTTCTGGTCTTTTGGCTCAACGTGGTTTCGTCCTTCGTCTGCAGCGTTTATGGTCCGGACCCGTACGAACGCCCTCTTCAGATTCTGGATACAAACCACTCTGGTGTAGCATGCCAACTCAAGCAATAAATACAACACATCGCTCCTGGTACCGTTCTCCGAAAACGACCTTCGTTGGCAACTCGACGATCAACGATCGCTTTCCTGTTTGCCAATTCTTCCGTCCTACAATCGCTCGTCAGCCGATCAGTCCCACGATTCAAACCGCTATTTATCGAAAGTGTAAACCCTTTCTAGCGGGGGGCTCCTGTAGTGACTCACGTTTATCACGAGAACACGACTGGTTTAATAAAAACAATTATTATTATAACCAACTGTACCAGTGTTTGTTTTAGCGTGCTTTTGTTTGACTGTGCTAATGACAGCTATTTTGTGCTTCCATTCTTTCACTCACACTTTGATTGTAACTTCGCGCGAATTCGGTTACCTTCTGTAACCAAGGTTGTATCCTGGCACGATCTCGGTATCCTTTCGATGCCACGAGATCGCCAGCTAATAAACCTCGACTTGGTCCATTAACTGCCTTCTGATATTTGGCTTCTCAGGGATTTTATGGATTTATTTGGTTACGTTCAACCTACGCCTTCTGATTCACTTGACACGTGTTTCTTGATAGCAGTGTTCATAGTTAATCCCAACTCGACGCCACGCTACAACTTAATGTATACCAACCAAGGTTTTTGATTTTACTGTAATGTCCAAGGTTTCTAAATGATGCATAAATCTAGACACACCTAATCACCGAAGTTCATCGTCTAAAAATATGATTTTTTGTTACATTTTCTACCTAATAAAAATAAAATGGAACTATGATGTTATGAACCACCAAAACTAGATAAGAATGAAGTCTAAGGATTCACACTGTTCACATGAAGTAGTCTTATATGCGTCTTTGAAGCCTCACGGTTCTGCTCGTAAGATTCAACTTTGTCGTTCCATGAAAGGGTTTGTCTTCTGTTTTTCTAATTTTATTTTTTCATCACACTACAAATTCAGTAAGAGTCAAAGAGTAGTTTATTGCACAACCGTAGTTTTATTGAGGCTAAAGTTATCGTTTTCACTTGTCTTTCCAGTCCCTATGGAGTTACTTTCGGGAAAGAGACATGTTAAGCAGAGTAATGAGTAGCCCCCGAGCTAGTGTTCATCTAGCGAAGACTGCAACTGTGGATGTAGCTCTTCAGGACCAGGTGACTTATTAATCCCGAGGTTAATGAACATTTGAATAAACGTCTTCTTGATCACATGTAAATTTTCTGTAGCTGGTATTTCAGTGTGTGTTTACGAGAAGTCTTGTTAACAATACTCGTAAAACAGACTTCGTTGGAACAGTGTGGTAATGTTTTGGTCTTCATCAACCTGACTCAGTAAGTATATCTAAAATTTTGTGCAACAAATCGTAGGATTCCATCACTTCGCTTTGTTTGTCGTTTAATGCTCAAAAATAGTCGTTTTGAGCTCATATGTGTGTCTTTCGTAAGTGGCGCGGATCCTAGCTATGGTCTGTAACCATATATTCCTGATATTCCACCAGTTTCACTTGAATGATTCGTAGATCGTTGGTAAAGACAAAACCCAGAAGTGTTTCATACGCTTACGTGTTACCTCGGAGGTTTACCAAACACGAAGAGGGTTGAGAAGCTAAAACAGTATGTTCAGTCCTGACACAGGTGAAAGAGTTATTTTCTTAATTTAAAGTTTGATGCATGATTCATTGGCTAACCCTTTTCTATAGCAAAGCCATTTTAATTTAAATGCACCATTCTATACTCCAGGATAAGGAGAGCCAGTCAGAAGTAGCCTAATGAGAA